ACTTTCCCAAGCCCATAAGTATCCACTTGGCATAGATTTGAAAGGGATGATTCTTTAGCCTTGATTCCTTTTTAGTTGATAAACATGAGCAGCTGTTGAGTTTCCTTGCTAACAATTTCTGCCCCTATTTTTGGGGGGGGACAGGGAGGAGCATTACTAGGGATTGAACCCAGGGACACTACCTCTGAGCTACATCCCCACCCCTTTTTTTGAGAGAAGATCTTGCTAAATTGCCTGTGCTGGCTTGGAACTTGCAGTTCTCCTGCCTCAGCCTCTTGAATCCCTGGCATTCTAGGTATGCGCCATTATGCTCCATCCATTTTGAACTTGCAAAAATGGTAGGACTGCAGTTTATAATTCTGCCCCACCTCCTGGGCCACTTGGGGAGCCCAATACATGCCCTACTTTGTCATTCCACGCAAGAAGTTATTGCCCTCAGGGTGTGTCACCTACTTGGGAGAAAGCTGCTCCCCTCACCAACCTGATTCTAAAGAGGAAATCATTCTTTCTTAGCATCTTGTCTTGATTTAATTTTCTCTGCACCTAAGGACATCTAATTTTGACATATTCTGATTATGAGCTTATGGTAGTCATTCCAGAGTTGAGTTTCTTTTCTCTAATTCTATTTCTATTATTTTGTGGTTGGTTTAGAGAGGAAAAAGAGATGTAAGTACTGTACCATCACTAACCAGATGTATTTACATTGTAAAACATAACAGTAAAATCAAAATCATAAAACTTACAAACTTTCTCATAATTCTGAATTTTTTTAATTAAAGAACTTGCTAAATTCGTGTCATTTTCCCTTTAAAGGCGAAAAGTATTTATTTATTAGACACTCAGGAAAAGTTTTTCATTTTCTCAATAGTTGTGAATGCCATAATGCAAGACATACTTTTTGTCCTTAGAAAATTATAATCTATAAAATGAGACACATTAAAAAGAAAGGGAATGAAAGAAAGTCCTTGGAAAACTTGGAATGGAACCACCATTCGACCCAGTTGCTACACTCCTCGGCATATACCCAAAGACTTAAAGCCAGAAAGAAAAAATAAATAAATATATATATATATATATATATATGTATATATGTATGTGTGTGTATATATATATATATATGTATATATGTATGTGTATATATATATATATATATATGGCCACATCAATGTTTATAGCAGCTCAATTCACAATAGTTAGTGCCCTTCAACAACAGATAAAGAAAATGTGGTATGTATACACAACAGAATATTATTCAGCCATAAAAAAGAATGAAATTATGCCATTTGCCAGTAAATGGATGGAACTGGAGACTATCATGCTACGTGAAATAAGATATGCTACGTGAAATAAGACAATCCCAAAAGACTAAAGGCCGAATGTTCTCTCTATATGCGGATGCTAACACACAATAAATAAGGAGGGTGCAGCAGAACAGAAGTTCATTGGATTAGATGATGGGAAGGGAAGGAGGATAGGAAAAGAAAAGAGAGTAGAATGAATCGAACATAACTTCTATGTTCATATAGGACTACACAACCAATGAAACTCCACATCATGTAAAACCACAAGAAGGTATACTTCATATATGTATAATACATCAAAATACATTCTACTGTCATGTATACCTAAAAAGAACACATTTTTTAAAAGAAAGAAAAAAGAAAGAAAGAAAGGGAGCAGATAATTGGGAAACCTTTATTCAGAGCTCTAGACACCTCAGGTTCCTCTACTCTCACCAAGCTTATAAACAGAATGTTGCATCTGCCCATATAAATGGTCCTCTTCCCTCTTTATCTTCTACTTAGTGCTCCCTCCTATGGTCAACCCTGGTATAATCCTTAAGAAGACACATACAGACCCCACAAAGCTCAACCAGAAACATGAGTTAGTTAAATGCTCTTCTGAGGTACTGCCTCTATTTCCCCGTTTCTACATTCATCAAGTCCTACTTTGCCTGCTGACTTCTGTCCTAGAAAATAAACTCCTAAAAGAACCAACAGTTTTCTGTGCATCATTATATTCCTCGGTCTACCCTGGTACCCAGAAATTAGTAGATGTTCAATAAGTACATGTTGAATGAAGAGATTTTGTAAGAGTAATTCTTAATTCCAGATTATGTATTCAAAGTTCACGACATTCACCCACTTATCATTAAATAATTCTTAAAAACCAGTAAATTGAGCCAGAAGCAATGGTGCCTGCCTGTAGTTCCAGCGACTCAGGAGGCTGAGGCAGGAGGATCACAAGTTGGGAGGTAGCCTGATCCTATCTCAAAATAAAACGAATGGAAAAGCCTTTCTACTGTCATGTATAACTGATTAGAACTCATACATTTTTTTTAAAAAAAGTAAAAAATAAGTGAATAAATAATACAAAGGGCTGGGGATGTGGCTCTGTGATAAAGCACACCTGGGTTCAATGCCCAGAACCAAAAACAAAAATCCTCTACTAAATCGGTACTTTTGTCTACAGAATTATTTCTAGGAGCCATAGTCAGATATCATGACAAAGTCAGTATACACTAAAAGTTATAAAATGTTTTTAATATCGCAGAATGTTTATGAAGTAACATGTTTCATCAAATAGATGTCATATAATTTGCTACTCAAGGGCTGGGGATGTGGCTCAAGCGGTAGCGCGCTCGCCTGGCATGCGTGCGGCCCGGGTTCGATCCTCAGGACCACATAGAAACAAAGATGTTGTGTCCGCCGAAAACTAAAAAATAAATATTAAAATAATAATAATAATAATAATTTGCTACTCAATATTTATTCAAAAAGTAATGTTGAAAATGTAAAAACTCATTAAAAGTCTACCTATTCAACTCCTTTCCAACTCTAAGAATTCATTAGTCCATTCAACTACCCTCTTTTAGTATTTACCCACAAAATGTGAAAGTTTTCTCTAATCACCCCAACCTTCCTTTTTTTTCTTGGTACTGGAAATTGAACTCAGAATGCTGTGCAACCGAGCTATATCCCCAGCCCTTTTTATTTTGAGACAGGGTCTTGCTAAGTTGCCCAGATTGGCCTTAAAAGTTGGGATCCTCCTGCCTCAGCCTCCAGAGTCACTGGAATTACAGGCATGTGTCACTGTGCCTAGTTTACCTATACTTCTATGCACTCATAAACATATTTAAAGCTGGCCACTGCAGCGCATACTTGTAATCCCAAAGGCTCTGGGAGGATGAGATAGGAGAATTTCGAGTTCAAAGCCAGCCTCAGCAAAAGCAAGGCGCTAAGCAAGACAGTGAGACCCTGTCTCTAAATAAAATACAAAATAGGGCTGGGGATGTGGCTCAGTGGTTGAGTGCCTCTGAGTTCAATCCTCAGTACCAAATTAAAAAAAAAAACTTAAAAATATATATATTTAATTTCAACATCTTATAAACAATTTCTCCTTAATTTTTATATGTAGCTGTGATTAATTTTTCCTCATTTCTTTTGATATTTTTAAAGTCCAATAAAATGGCCACTTTATAGCATTCTTTGCATCTTCCTTTTGAATAGTCAACTGTCCAGCCTGCACAGCTGGAGTTCACAATCACCTCATTCCTTGATACTCACTATAATAAACAAAGGAAACATAAAATACATAAGGTCCACATAATCAAACATGTATAGGTCCTAAGATTTAAATACTATCACATTTTCTGGGCTCAGTGGTAGAGTGCTTGCCTAGCTGTGGGAGACTGGTTGGATCTCCAGCACTGCAAAAAACAAAAAATAAAAAGAGGGATAAAACAGCTTTAAGTTTTAACACATGATGATAATCACTTAAAATAGGAAGAAAATCTTAACCAGACAAAATTTATTAACAGCTTTAGCAGATATCACCTTCAGCTGTGGAGACAACTAGCTTAGAATTTAAAAGATCTATGTTCCCTTAAAGAGAAAATGCAGGTAAGTAAGAACTTTAAAGCAACAACAACATATACATTCATCTATTACCAAAATGCAGAAATGACTATTACTGAAAATAGATGAGATTCAGGTCTCAGAAAGAATATTTCCACAGCAAATACATCCACGTACACTAGAATTCAGAAACAGTAAATATGTTAAGATGCAGAATCTTTTTTCCAAAAAATCCTTCTTGATACTATATATTGAGTTTAATTGTAAAATAAAACAGTTCATTTTCATAGTTTCTTTCTTCTTGCAAATACAGAGAAAAAGATATTAGCAGGGAGAAAGGAAGATAAGCTTTTAGCACAAGCAGCCAATGGCTTTTTCAGTCTTCCAATAACAACCACAAAACAATTTGACAAAACGTGAACACTATTCTCTTTGGGACTACTGCTGGGTCACCGCCATGCAGACTCCCTGTGTGTCATTATTGTTCTTTTGAGTCTCCTGTTTCAGAAGCATGTTCATTTCACTGCCACAGCATTTTTCTCTAGTTGCCACCTATAATTTTATATTCTACCACCTTTAAGGAGCATTAACCTAAAAACATATCTTACGATTTTTTTAAACTAGGATGAACCAAAATCCTGAGACGTTAACTTTCCAAAATATTTAATGAAGATGAAAAGGCTATTTACTTATCCCAAAAGGAGTAGCTATTGTTAAAATCACATTTAGAGTCTCATACTTAAAAGTCTTAAGGTTTTTCCTTCATGTTAAGACTTTTTAAATTGAGTTTTAATTCAACTTGACAGAACACAAAATGTAACTGTAGCTAAACAGACAACTATATTAACTTTAAAAAAAAAAAAAAGAACGAACATTCTCATGTCAATGTGAAAAGGAGTAAAATTTGACTGAGGAATGATGAAAACCCACCAGCTCATGTGACTAAAAGAGGAAAAAAGAAATCAGTGAGAAAACTGCCTACTGCCCAAAACTTAAAGCAATATTCAGTATAATTAAAGTTTAAATTAGAATTACTTAAAAATAAATGTTTGCCAGATGTCTATGTGCCAAAGACTGCTCTAGCATTGTACATATAAGCTTGCATTATGAATTTAAAATTAAAATAATTTCAATAGCCTTTACCTGATTTATTAGAAAGGTAAGGATAGCTTATGCAGCAGTAGAGATCACTCATTGGCTCTGGTAGGAATCAGTGATGGGGCTCAAATCTGGTAAATTCTCTCATCTGAAAAGGAAGATTATAATTGTATATACCTCATTCAGTTGCTCAGGAGAATTAAATTAGGTATTTCACAAACTCTGCTTAGCATGGTACCCAGTACATAGTAATCACTTAGTATTAACTACTATTAGAAGCAGTAAGTAGTAACTTATTAGTATTATCATTTTAATCTAGAATCTGCAGGGCTAAAATGCCCTCTCCAGCTGCTAGTGGTTTTCTGAATAGTACTGTATAATTCTCCACTAATTCAGGCCCTCCCACCCTATTGGGGCTAGACTTACAGAATCCACCAAGAGTTCTTTCCTATATTCCATATTAGAAATCTAATATAAAAATATTTTCTATGTCTCAAAATTTAAAAATAAAAATAATAAGGGCTAAGAATGTAGATCAGTGACAGAGAGATTGCCTAGCATGGACAGACCCTGGTTCAATTCTCATTACTGCAAAAAATTAAAAATATTCTCTATAGAGTCTTTACATACTAATAATTTTGTTTTACATACTAATAATTTTGTGATGGGAAATACAGCAGAATGAACAGGGTTTGATTTAGTTAATCATGTATTAGCTCTAGTCAATAATCCTTTACAACAAATGTTTTCTGAGTTCTACCATTGTCATAGTCACTATTGTTGCAGAAACCCCACAAGAGGGACAAGAAAGAAGAAAAACTAAGTTGTAGCTATACTCTTCAAAGTTCTTTTGTTCTAAGAATCTGAAACGAATGGCCTCTTTGTTACTAAATTCCACATACACTTTTCCATCTCTGGCTTATGTGACCTCTCTGCAGCATGACACTGTTGGTCACTTTCTCTTTCTTGAAAAATCTCTCCTTCCTGGCTGCTCAGTCAGTGGCTTCCTTTCTCTGGGCCCCACACTTACAGGCCAAAGTTCCCCAAGGTTCTTTTGATCTCATCTTAAAGGGGTGCAAGAAGAAATGCCTACAGTGGCCACAGGAGTGGGCCAGGAGCAGCCTTTACAGAAGTTTGCTCATCCAAAGGCACTGACTCAAGCCAGTTCCAACAAGTTGTTGCAATTAAAAAAAAAAAAAATTTAGACCTAGTGTTTTCAGATCTTCCAAATTTTCAAGATTAAAACTTAAAACTTTTCCATAAAATCTTCCAATATTTTCATGTCAGCAGCTCACTGAAACTTGTATGCATACAAGAGGGATAACAGTTACCCAGCAATTTTATAAATCCACTTCCTCATCAATGAAATTGCAGTAATTAAGTCACACATAAACATAAAAAGTCTAAATCAAAGAAAACATCCCTACAGGCTTTTATTATCACTTTACTCCATATCTACCAAGACTAGAGGTTACTACCCAGGTTTCCAACCAAATGTATAAAACTGTCCAAGTGCATTTTCCTTTCCTCAAGAACCAGTGACCACACCAATCTACTTCTGATCTGTTTCTACCTTTTCAGCATCTATGAAGATGATGCCCACATTCACATGTGGCCAACCTCTGGAACCCACTTACCTTCTGCCACCTCCTCTCCATCTCTCTGCTACCTTAATTCAGGCCAGCTTCACTCTCTTCTCAGTAGCTGCCTCACTGTTCTAATTCCAATCATGCTCTCCTCTATGCCACTCTTTATACAACCTGAATCCTCTAGATTGTAAATCACTTCTTTGGTCAAAGGCCTTTGGGGTCAGCTTACAAATTTATAAGAAATCTGAACTTCTTTGTGTAACATACAAACTCCTGAAGTCCTGGCCAGGCTGACCCCTCCTCTCCCCGTTTACTCCCCCACTCCCCCTACTCCAGGGCCACACAGAACCACAATTTGCAACACAGAATGCTCCTTTGTCCCTAGGCATTTATTCATACCAGCAGGTCCTACCTCCTTGAATACCTAACTCCTCCCATTCCCTTAGAAAAGAAATCTCTGCAAAGCCCTCTCACTTTAAGGCCTGCCCCCAGGCCAGAGGAGAAAAATAGGTTTCCTCAATACTGGCTTAGTTTTCTTCCCAAGTAGACTAAAAACTCCTCAAGGGCAGAGCTACCACAAGGAAGCTAATCTGGTAGATGAATGAACCACCAGTGACTTCAACAATTCCTGTCATCTCTTCAGGCAACACACTTTAAAGTGAGCCCACCAAGGCCCCCAACAGTACTCAGGCCTTCAAGGCCATGCAGGTCACTTCAAATCTTCCAGGAGGCCAAGAGTCAAACAAACCTACCTCCTCCTTTACCAGTGGGTACATTTATCACTCCTTTACATTTGCCAACTAGAAAGAATTGGGTAGCAGAGGCTAGGCTGACTGCAAGCTGCTGGAACTGTCCATGTGTATACTGCACAATTTTTTACTGGCACAAGAATATGTACTTGGCCCAAGAAATTAACTATAATATTCTTTCTGTAGTCAAATACTTATTAGTATTATTAACATATATTGAGTCAAAACTCATTAAAAATTCACACAAGAATATAAAAAATCTTTAGAGGAAAGTATTACATGAAGTTTATCCACTAGGAACTATTTTAAAGGACTGATGTGTAAATCCTCATTTAATTTTTTACATCAACCCTATGAAGTAAACACTATATTGCCCCGTTTCGTGGATGAAGAAACTGAGATAGTAATTTTAATTACCCAATTTCACACAGCTAGGATTCAAGACCAATGTGACTCTAGAGTCCATTCTTCTAACCAACACAAAACCTCACAATTACTGTTACGTTTAACAGCCTATGCTTATGTGGATGCCATATACATGCATATACTCAAAAGAAAGAAAACACACTTAAAATGTTAACAGTAGATGGGCTGCAGATGTAGCTTAGTGGTAAGAGCACTTGCCCACACATGTCCCTGAGTGTGATCCCAGTACTCAAAAAAAATAACAACAATGGTTATCCCCTGAGTGGGATGAATAGTAATTCTCCAAACACAGAATAAGAATGTATTATTTTTAATTACAGAAAATAAGTAAACAAATAAAATAAATAGTATTAGTATTTAGATGGTGCTACCAGAAAGGTAAAGTGGGCTAGGGGGATCAATCTTCCATCAGTAACTATTCTGGGGCCAAGCACATGGCTATCTCACTTACTGCTTAAGTCAAATAAATTTATTTCCATTTCCAGTTAAAGAAACCAAAGATTAAGTAACCTGCCCAGTGAAAGACCTGGGATCAGAACCCAAAAGCCCAGTTCAAACATGTCAGACTACAAGATGCCATGATACAATAAAATTTCCCCCAAAACCAGTCTTAAAAACAAATCACAAGGGCTGGGGATGTGGCTCAAGCGGTAGCACGCTCTCCTGGCATGCGTGCGGCCCGGGTTCGATCCTCAGCACCACATACAAACAAAGAAGTTGTGTCCGCCAAAAACTAAAATAAATAAATAAATATTTAAAAAAAAAAACAAATCACAAGCTGGGCGCGGTGGCACACACCTGTAATCCCAATGACAAGAGGATCAAAAGTTCAAAGCCAGCCTCAGCAACTTAGTGAGGCCCCATCTCAAAAATAAAATGGGCTAGGGATATGGCTCAGTGGTTATGCACTCCTGGGTTCAATCCCTGGTACCAAAACAACAACAACAGATCATATTTTTTGAAGGAATAAAAACCAAGTAGTCAGGCTGGGCATATAGCTCAGTTGGTAGAGTGCTTGCCTTTTATGCACAAGGCCCTGGGTTCGATCCCCAGCACCCCCTCCCCCCGCAAAAAAAAAGTAGTCTTATCACCTTAAGTGCAAGGAGGGGGGAAAAAAAGAAACCTAAAATTTTTACTTTTTTTTTTTTTTTTTTAAAACCAAGTATCTCAAAAGATCCAGAGCATTGTCTAAAATCAACTTTTATAGTCAGGGCCTCTGCGACAAACTCACACCTGATATAATGGGAAGGAGACTATGTGCTGTATGTTTTGCCAAACACAATTGTATTAGCATAAGTTAAGTGGACTTCAATGTGACTCCATTGTATTTACACAGGAGTATCTGTTCTGGAGATAATTCTAGCTTCCAAGACAGCCTCCTCTATTATCCTACCTTTTTACAAGTTACCAGGTATGGGGGTTGGGGGGTTTCATGTCTGGGAATATTGCTCTTTAGCTGTATTCAGATATAAATAGCCTTTTGTTATCTATAACCACTGGTCCAAACCTGGGTAGTGAGAGCTGCTGGCCCTGGGAAAGCATCTCAGGTAAAAATGAATGGATCAGCAATTTTCTGAAATGACATTTTAAGTTTTGAGTACTCAGAACTTTTAAAATCCATCTAAACTAAAATCTTCATTCTTCTAAAAATAGCAGCAAACATGATTAGCTGGGGGAAAAAAAACATTTGGGATGGAATAGACAAATGGGTTTATAAAATCTGAGGAAAGAAAATTTGATTACTTCATACTTATAAATTAAACACCAATTTTTAAAACAAAACATTTAACAGTGAAAAGGCATATTCTCTTTGCAATTTAAAGCTAATCCAATATTTGCCCTGAAAGTCTGTATTAGTTTCAAATAAAATGTAACTTTTAAAAATGTCAAACCTACCATTCCTACAGGAATAAAGAAGCCCATGAGGTGATTAGATTAGGGAATTAATATGCATTTGGGACAAGTGGGAAAAAGTATCAAAGTTTTGGTATTTGTTCAAACAGTTTTTGAAAGCTTAGGAATATGAAAAAACATCAAATTATGAGGCAACAAGAGAATTTCTTTCAAACTTTAAAAATGTTCTGGGAAAAGGAATCCATAGAAGGATTTTTTCCCCCCACCAGTATGCTTTAAAAATAAAATCAAACTATAATAAAAGTAATGATTTTTGGTACACATTTATATGAAAATGTCCAAGTTAATAAGAAATTTCAACTGATCAACAGAGTTAAAACAACCATTAAATCTAATTTACATTTTGGTATGAAACCTATAAAGTCTTCAATATCAAGACTTTCTTAAGCACAATGCTAAATGGTTGGTTATCTATCACTGTGGAGAATGAGTTTTACTTCAGGCAGACCAAAGGAAAAGACATACTTGGTTAAGAATCATAAGGAGTCTCAGGTGCCTGACAGAAGTCAGCTCTGAGCAAGTCATGGGTTATATCCATTGCTCTCCAAATTACTCTTTTTACTA